GGACCCCATTACATGAAGCCTGCAACCATGGCCACTTAGGTGAGGGGGGAGGGTTTGGGTGAGCAGAAGATGGGGTGAGAGGAAACAGGTCTGGGCTAGGGGAAGTGCAGAAAACTGTGAATAAAGAATCAAGATAGATGAGAGGGAGTGAACTGAGAGGAGGGGAACCTGAAACTCATATTGAGGATCTGAACTGGGGACTTAGTGATCAGCTTCTGGGGACTTCTGATCAGCTAGTGACTATTCTTGGCCGGGTGCTCTGGGGCCTTTAGAGATTGTTCGATTCCTGCTGGACCATGGTGCTGCAGTGGATGATCCTGGGGGCCCAGGCTGTGAGGGTATCACTCCTCTTCATGATGCCCTCAACTGTGGCCATTTTGAGGTGGCTGAGCTGCTAATAGAGAGGGGAGCATCAGTCACTGCAAAAAACAGCAAGGTAAGGGGAGTTGGGGTGGGGAGGGTAGGCTCCTTTGCTTCTATTGTGGGATATAGTGTTACAGGGAGAGGAATCTAGAGTGCAGCTCTCCTTTACAAACAGGGAGGTCACTCATGATGTGGAAGTGAGGGCATCTGTGGGAAAGGTGGTAGAAGAGTGAGAACTGAGGGTTCTTCTCTGGCACCCCAGGGTTCAAGCAACTATGATATTTAAGACAAAGGACTGATATTTGCCTTTATCATCTCTATAGGGTCACAGCCCCCGAGAGACCCTCCGGCAGTGGTTGAAACTCTATGGCAGGGACTTGGATCAGGAAACACGTCAGAAAGCCCAAGCTATGGAAAAACTGCTGCAGCAAACAGCTGTAGAAAAACTGCATGGGAGAGCTTCAGTGGGCCAAGGTGAGCAGGGTAGCCCTCCCCCAGGGTATTTCCTGGGGGTTCTCTGTGTCTCTTTATTTCAGCATGCACAGCTCACTCCCATGGAGCTAGGGACACTTTTTTGGAGAGAGTGGGGACCCTCCTCTGGAGCTCAGGGAACCTCACCACCTCAGTCATAGATAGATCCTGAATACAACTGGGTCCCTGAGTAGATTCTGCTTGTCCCCAAAGCCAGAAAGGTGAAACTGTTTCAAGCTCACACTCTGACACCCACTATGTGTGTGACCCTGAGCAGTCGATTAATTTCTCAGTGTTCCAAACAGCTCTTTAAGAGTATAAATTGCAGAGAAGATGCCAACTTGCATTGGTAGAAAAAGTTTCTTTATCTGAGAGTTCTCTTTATCAATGAAATAATAAATACATAAATACAAATCTATTCCTATACCTTTTATAGGCCCATGGGATAGGTTGTGGGGGAGGCCAGCCTTGACTTCTCACAACTATTTTTCTTTCCTCCTGCAGCATCCCAAGGCTGTCCTACTCCCCAAACCATCCAGACCAATCCTCTGTTTGACCCTGAGACTTCCCCCTCTTCCAGCCCCCTCGGGTCTTCCCATTTCCTGGCCATATCAGAGGCCCAGCATCCCCTTCTTCAGAACAGGTCCCTTAACAAGCCCTTAACCTCCCCAGAACAAGGACTGGGTATCACCAGGCCACAGAGTTATGTTGGAGATGAGGCCAGTAACTCTGAAGGGGATGATGATTTGGTCCCATTCCAGCCAGTTAAGAAGAGGCCAAGACTCCTCAACTTGGGGCAGCGGGGAGAAGGAGCAACACTGTGCTCCCCTGAGAGGACAGACTCAGATGTGGCATCTGCCAGCCGGGCTGTGTATCATGCAGCTATCCGTGGTGTGGGCAGTGCCCAGGCCCGGCGTCCATTCAAGACCATAGCAAAAGGGCCAAGTGAGACACCTGTGGCCCAGGCAGCCCTCATTCCTGAGGAAGAGTATTTGGGTGGAGACTGGCTGGAGGATGATATAGAGTCCCACTGTGTCCGTCGCAAGAGGAGCCACTGTCTCCCAGACCACGAATCAGATTGCACATCTGGCCCAGATAGTGGTGGTGGAACTATCTGCCCAAGTTCTAAGCCACGTTCCCGACAGAGCCGACTCACTCGCATTGTGGACAGGAGAGTGCTGGGCAGAACCAGTGGGAGCAGTAACTTGACAGAAGAAAACCCCTGTGTCTCCAGGGTTTCAGGTGCCAGTGAAGAGAGCCCCTCAGCGGGATACCTGCCAGTGAGTGAGCCAGGAGTTCTTGGGGAGAGATTGGGGTAGATAATCTCTGACCTTGGGAACATCCCCTGAGCATGGGAGGAGGCAAGACAAACACTATACCAAGGGATGCTGGATAAAAACTTCCTAACATTTAGAGTACCCAAAAGTAAAATGAGTCACCTTGGGAGTTAGTTCCTTGTCACTGATGGTCCTCCAGCAGAAGCTAGATGATTGGTCACTAGGAATTTTATAAAAGGGATTATTGTTCAGGTATAGGCCAAACAAGATGCCATCCTCAAGGTAACTGCACGCTCTGAGTCCATATCTCTGGGAGCATTAGGGGCCTTTCTCCAGGACAGACTTGGGAGGTGTTAACCCGAAACCTCATTTGCCCTAACTTTCCTTTCCCTCCTTCCCACAGTGTTCAGCTGCGCCCCTACCCATCCGGGTCCGGGTTCGGGTACAGGATAATGTCTTCCTTATTCCAGTTCCCCAGAGGTAAGGAGTCAGCCCCCCTGTCTGCTTTTCCCCTAAGCTTCTTATCATTCATTTCAGGTCAGGTATTTACTGGGCACCCGCTTTGTGCTCAAGTCTTTCTTGGAGGTACCAAAGGAATAGCAGAAATGGTCCTTATCTTTGGGGAGCTTACTCTCTCATTAGGAAGCAGTTTTGGAGGAAGCAGGATGTGGGTTGGCGCTGAAGAATGGTAGAATTGGAAAGGAGAAGATGGGCTGGAGTGAACCTGGGGTGGGACGATGAAAAAGCCAACCTGGCTGGAGCAGATAGGTTTTTCCTGGGATGATAGGAAGTATGGTTGACTAGGTAGAGGAAGCCTATGAAGGGATCAGGTGCCACGCTGAGGTATTTGGCACTTGGGAATCCCTAAAAAAAGGAAAGATGACTAGTAGTCCTGACAAGATGAAGAGAGACCGTGACAGAAAATGTCTCCAAGGGCCAGATGCAGGATCAGTCCCTTTAATAGAGAAGGAGATAGACCTCAGGTGATAAAGATGAGGTGACTTGCCTAACGTCATGTGCAGCTGAATAAAGAAGAGAACCGAAGTCTTCTGGCTCCCAGGTGAATTTCATTCTATAAACTGTTAGCACTGCCCTTTCCATTTTGGGGGGAAACAGGCTAGTATGGGAGGAATCACTTCTAGTTTCTGTAGGTGAATATTGGCAGAATAGAGAAGTAGGATTTGTAAGGGTTGAAGGAGCAGAGACTAAAGGAATGATCGAAGTTGAGTTTGGGTCCTCATTCCCTTGTTTTGAGCACATAATTCAGTAGATTTGCTGAAAACTGCAGTTTCTGCAGATCCCCTATTGAAGGATTTATATTATTCCCACCTCAGAGGGCAGTGTGGATCCTGGAGAGGGGAGGGACAGTGATTCCATAGATGCCTTATCTATTCTTCCCTGGTGGCAGTGAAAGGCACCCTGTGTCATGGCTGGCAGACCAGGCATCTCAGAGATACTACCAGACATGTGGGCTGCTAACCTGGCTTACCTTGAAAAAAGAAGGGGCCCTGCTGGCCCCTGAAGACCTGATCACTGATGTCCTGCAGAGCAATGAGGAGGTAAGAGAGGTTGGAAAAGCCTGCTTATTCTTCAAATGACTTGGAGCATTCTTTTCCCTCTACACACATACCTAGAAGGAGTTCCCCTAACAGCATAGGGACTATGAACTGACAAATCACCTCTGTTTCAGGTGCTGGCTGAAGTGATCTCCTGTGACCTAACACCCTTGACTGACCGATACCGAAAGGTTTGTCAAAGCCTGAGGGAAGGTAAGGAGTCAGCAGGAGGCCAACCAGGAGTACCTAGGACTCCTATTTAATGGCCGAAATGGTGGAGTCTCCTTAGCTACATTTACTGCTAGGGGCAGGGAGTGAGGAAGGTGATGGAAAGTTAGCTAGTGGGAGCTATTTAGTGAGGCCTCACTGATTTGTGAAAGACAGGGCAGGAACAAAGGCTCTGGCTGCTGCCGTGGAGGCTCAAGCGTTTGACTATTGCTTAAGCTCTACTTTCCTATTATCACTGTATCAATATTGTTTATACTTCACTTCTCCACCCATCCCTCATGGAGATCCTTGGCTTCTGTTCAGAGGAAGGAAGTCAGCCCTAGGGTGTGAAGGGGTACTTTTCTAACTTATGGAGATCAGGCAGATTCAATTCCTTGGCTGTTTGGTCCCTTGAAACCCTTTATACAAGTGTTGGGAGGCAAAGGGGGTGTGGAGAGGAGATATAGGGATCCCTCAGACAAATTATATAGTTTCAATTTAGAACTGGAAAAAACTTTAAAGACTTATCTATTTCAGCCCCCTCATAATACACATAAGAAAAATCAGAGAAGAGAAATGATTTGCCAATACCACCCAGGTAATCCAGTGGGAACTGGGATCCCCACAAGGGTCCTATTTCTAGAGACCCAGCCCTCTTCTACTGTACCTGTTGTAGTAATTGTTCTGAACTCAGCAAGGGGGTGGAGGGCATAGAAAAGGGAAAGCTGTAGCATAGGGGTGGGGAACCTACGGCCTTCTAGGTCCTTGGGTTCAGTCTTTTGACAGAATCTAAGTTTTACAGAACAAATCCTTTTATTAAAGGGATTTGGTCTGTGAAGTTTGGATTCAGTCAAAGGGCTGCACTTGAGGCCCTAGACGGCCACATGTGGCCTCGAGACTGCAGGTTCCCTACCGCTGCATAGCTTCTCAGGCAACTTACAATCTGGTTGGGAAGAGAGCAGTCATACATGAAATAGAGAACAACACAAGATCTGACCAAGTGCTCAGTGGTACAGTGCCAACTCTTAAGTGTAACAAATGTTCAGAGAAGACAGTGTGTGTGTGTGTGTGTGTGTGTGTGTGTGTGTGTGTGTGCGCGCGCGCACTCCAGGTAGGTGCAAGGTGGGGAGGCTTCCATTAGGGAGCAGACCTTGAAGGGCCCATAGGATTTGGATGGGTTAGAGGGTGGAGGGTGGTGAGCAACCAGTCAACAAATCAAGTCACCAAGTGTTTGTGCCAATCCCTAAGTTGGGAATACAGTTACAGGCAGAATGACAGTCCCTGCCCTCAGTTTACATTCTGATATGGGTAAGACAACCCATAAAAGGGAACTGAAAAGCAGAGGTAAGGGAAGTAAAGCTGCTACAGGCTGGGAAGAGTGAATATCGTGTATTAGAAACCAGCCTGATTGAACTGGGGGCAAGGGAGGCATGTTGAGGCATAATAGCAGATAAGGCTGGAAAAGTAGGTTAAGGCCAGAATATAGGAGACCTTGAATGCCAGGTCAAGGAATTTAACTTAATAGAATGGGTAGTTAAGGACCCTTTTTGTAGATTTTTAGTATTCCCTATAGGAATGTGTAGGAGAAGAGAGAGAGCAAAATATGAAATAGCCTTTAAACCAAATGGGCAGAAACACTTTTACTTTAGATTTTGTATGAGGCCATCCAAACCCCTTTGGGCAGTTTTCCTGGACTAGCCTCATGTCTGTGTTGGCCATTATTCCTGGAATGTCAGTTTGAGCTCCCTTTCTCAAAACTACCAAAAAGGGACCTATATTCTAGTTGGCCCAAACTGACTACAGTTATCCCTTCCACATCATGATTTTCCCCATCATGGTTTCAATATATTACAGGTTGGCATGAGAAATTAAATTGGGTTTCATCTCAAATAAGCCAACTGTACTGTGAACTGGGAAGCTAAGTGTAAATGACATTACAGTCTTTACTACTCTACAAAGCTGCCTTCCAGGAATATGTGAGAGGCAGTAGTATAAGTAGTCAGTGAGGATGAGGATGGATAGGTGACTGGAAAACAGAAGAGAGAACCTGTTGTCTGTTTACATCATTAATCTAATAAATCAAAAGGATTTGGAGATTTTGAAGAGGGGAAATCTTATCTTGGCTTTTGGAGAATGGAAAAAGAAATAGTCTTGTTCCCAGAGGGCAGAACTAGAATAATAAGTAAAAGTGACAAAGAGACAAATTTAGAACCAATGTGAGTAAAAACTTCCTAACATATTAGAGTTATCCCAAAGTGGAATGTATTGCATTGGGAGGTAATGGCTTCTCCCTCATAGGAGGTCTTAGAGCAAAGACTGAATGCCCTTTTTGGAGAGATACAGAGGCTGAACTAGCTAATTTTGTTCCTGAGGCAAATATATAAAATTGCTCCCCTGATAATTCTATAGTAATTATTTTGTATTTTTTGTGCTTACTAACAGGTATTTATTGTAGAGGGATTTCTCATTCAGATATTGGTTGGATTAAATGGCCTCTGAAGTCTCAACTCTGATTATCTGTAATTCTTCAAGTATTAGCTAGATTCTTGCTTTCGGTATGTTTTAGAGGGGCTCTCTCTTATGGACCAAATTAGACTAGATTACTTCTGAAGTTATTTCAAACTGCAAGATTTTTCCATTTTGATTCTCTGATAGAGGCTCACTACATGCCTTGGGCACAGGATGTGGAAGTTGAGAATGTTACTTATGAATTTATAGTCTCATAGGTATGATCCTAACGGGGGAAGTATATCTGGAAGGGATTATAGAATCAGATTTAAAGCTAGAAGGGCTCTTAGAAGTCATATATTCTAATCATCTCATTTTACAAATGAGGAAACTGGTATCTATGAAATGCTTTACATCATATTACTGTCAGATTCTTAGCTAGAGGCCTGGCAGAGAAAGTTGGTGCTTGAAAGTGAAAGTGAGAAGAATAGGAAACACACAACTCAGCTTGTACTTGGCCTTATTTGGCTCACCCTGGTTCCTCCGTTTCTTAAAGACTCCAGAGCAGTACTAAGATTTTATAAATAATGGATATAAACTATGGCTATTATAAACTGAGATGATAAGTGCCAACTAAGCAGCAGTAGGAGTCTGTTCTCTTCTCACCTACTGTACCCCAGATGTTATGATGTGAATCTCCTCCCTTTCTCCATTAGCTGAGAACCAACTAGTTCTCCAGGCTCTGGAACAGCAGGGCTCAGGCTCCTCATTCAGTGCCTGCTCCCTTGCCCTGCGTCCAGCCCAACTCAAGCCGTTGCTTCGTGCCCTAAAGCTGCACACATCACTCCGGGAGCTACACCTGGTAGGGAATCGGTTTGGGGACAATACAGCTGTGGAGTTGCTAGCCACTATTAGCACCATGCCTGGCTTGACCATCCTTGATCTCTCATCTAACCACCTGGGTACTGATGGCCTACGCCACCTTGCTACTGGCCTCCCAAACCACAACACCTTCCAGGTAAGGCTTTCCTATTTGAGGAATGGAGCTAAAGTTGGTATTCTAATGGTCTGTCCTGGTCATCTTGGAATGAAAGCCTTTGAAAGGCAGTTATGGTATCCATCAGCATCCACAATAGTATTTAGTCAGTGGAGATAAGTAACAAGCATAGGTCATATTTCTACAGCACATTCTTCACATGACAACTGTATGACCTGAGTGTAGTGCATATTTTATTGTCCTGTTTTACAAATGTGGAAACTGAGGCATAGAGAAGGAAAGTGAAACATGCCCAGTGTTGCACAGCTAGTAAGTGTTAAAGCTGAGATTTGAACCCAGATCTCTTGACTCCAAACCCAGCAATCATGCTACTGCATCATGTTGCCTCTTTTGCCAATGGAAGTCATGATCATAGAGTGGCTGTTGGGTACTTAGCCTCCTTCTGAACACTTACTGGAAACTAAAGGAAAGAGAGTACCAGGTTGTACCCTGGTCAAACCCCAAGAGGAGAGCAGACATAATCCCTATTTCCTAGCAACCTTCAGTTTGTTAGGAAAGACATGGGCCACACTCCAGAAGGCTGGGGGAGTCTAATGGGTTTTACTGCTTTCATATGGCATTCAGTTTAAGAGCCTCCTTCCTAAGAGAACCCCTTGTCTAATCGGTAAACAGGACCCTTACCCTTAGAAGACCTAGGTCTTGTAGGAGAAGACGACGTTTTGGCTCCCATACCCCTCTGCACCAGGCCAGAAAAAGCAAGCCTATGCCTCATGAGGGACTTCGTTCTAAGAAAGCTCTTCTCTTAGCTCCTGTCTCTCCTCTCTGCTATCCACTTATCTTGTAGAATCTAGAAGAACTAAATTTAAGCATGAATCCTTTGGGAGATGGCTGTGCCCAGGCCCTGGCTTCCCTCCTACAGGCCTGCCCTGCTCTCAGCACTCTGCGCCTGCAGGCTTGTGGTTTCAGCTCGAACTTCCTGCGGAACCATCAGCACACCATGGACAGCGCCATGCAGGGTGAGCTGGCAGCTCCAAAACCCAGAGGAATCTTTCCATCAGCAAGCATTTACTAAGCTCTTACTGTGTGCCAGGCATTGTGTGAGGCACTGGGGATATCAATACAAATAAATGAACAATCCCTACTCTCAAGGAGCTTACATGTGAACAGGGAGAGAACAAGTACCTATATAAATAGGTACAGAAGAAAAATAGAAGAAATGGAAAGTGGGAGAGGGAGGACATGAACAGTTGGAAGTATCAATAAAGAGTTCTTGGAGAAGGTGGTGCTTGAGGGGAGAGGGATTTTATGCAGCAGAGCTAAAGAATGAATGGATTCTAGTTGAGGGAGGCAGCCAGGGCAAAGGCTGTCTAACAATTTTTAAATAATTACTGCTTCCCAAAAGTAGAGAGGGCTACCTTGAGAGGTTCTCTAGCTATAGAGTAGTTCACTCAGAGGTTGGATGACCACATAGTATTATTGAATATAGAACTGTGAGGAACATTAGTGGCCTTTTAGTGCACATGCAGAGGAAGAAGTAATTTTAGATCAAGTCAATTGCTCAAGGTCACACAGATAGTAGCAAAACTGGGACTCAGACCCAGGTCCTTTGATTTCAAATCCATTGTTTAGCTCAGAGGTGCCAAATATATGGCAGGCAACGTTCCCCAGTGCTAGATTAATATATAATTGGAAAATAATTGACAAAATAAATAAAAATACAATAGAACATAGATAATGTTAATAGGTTTTATTTGACACCATGGTTTAGCTGACTTTACCGGGTGTGTGTCTCCCTCTCCCATAACATAATCTAGATAAGGTATGTTGAGAAGAAGATCCCTCCACGAGGTTGGACTAAATTACCTTTTCATATATCAGGTTTGCTTAAAAGCAGAGCATACTTTGCATATGATTATAAATTTTGAGAAGGAACCAGTACCTTGGTTGTGGTATACGATTTCTCCAGAAAAAGTTCCTAGAGGAGGTAAGCTAGAACTGGAAGAACTATCTGAGCCTTGAGAATTCCCCATGGAATTTTGGAGTGGGAGATACACAGATTGGAACAGGTTGGTGAGCCATTTCAAGAGTAGCAGATAGTGTGGCTTTTAGGATTGGGAAGATAGTAGGATCAGTTTAGTCACCCCTTGGTCCTGAGTACCACTTTGTACAAAACTTTGAATCTCTTGCTCTGAGTATAGTTTTTAACACCACTCTTTGAATATGTCTTCCTTGAAGTACAGGTGCCCGGCACCTGAAGATATTCTCTCTGTCCTATAACACACTGGGTGTCCCAGCCCTTGCTCGGGTTCTTCAGTGTGTGCCTTATCGTATCCTAGCTCAGCTGGAGCTTGGCTCGGTGGTGGCCACCAGGAACAGCTCAGGATTCATGGAGCCTATGATCAAATATCTGACACAGGTATGCAGTAGAGCCCCTTGGGGTGGGGGAAGGAGAAAACAGACAGGATAGGGACTAGCAAATTTTTGGTTTTGGTTTTTTGATGAGTACCTTTATTTGTATCTTCAGCACAGTGCCTGTCACATAATAGTCACTTAATACTTTTTGACTTGTTGATTCACTAGGACAGAAGAGAAAAAAGAGGGTTCAGAGTACTAAGGCTTCCTCTATCTGAGTTTGAAAAGGAAAGGACAGTATTACTGCAACTTGCATTTGTCATATTTTTGTAGGCTTTGAACAGGGGCAGGGAATCTGCTACCTCGAGGCCACATATGGCCCTCTAGGTCCTCCAGTGCCGCTCTCTGACTGAATCCAAACTTCACAGAACAATTTGTCAAATCTCAGTACAAAAATGAGAAGTCATGTTTTCTACCTTCTCCCAAGGAGTTTAGGCACTCCTGAGAAGAGGGACAACTAGGTATGAAGGGACGGGGGGAATACAAGCATTTATTAAGTACGTATTATGTGCCAGAAACTGTGCTAAACACTTTACAAATATTACCTCATTTGATAGTATGATGAAAGGCTTAAGCTCAAAGGGGCTTTAACATTTAACATTAGTTAATCTGAAAACACTTCCACATTCTCTTCTTGTTCTCCCAGCTCTCTAGGCTGTCCCAGGTTTCCAAGGCTGAAACTCTTGCTGACACAACTGTATCAAACTATGCTGATTGCTTTTTCCTAATGTTCTTCTATGACTCCTAAGTTCAGTGGTCTTTCAGAATTCTACATGGCAAATCCACTTCCAGAGGTGGCTTTGTCTGAGGGGCCTAGAGTTCTATATCCTGTCCTGAGGTGGTAGTGCAGTGCTAGGTGGTGGTTAGGGAAAAGGGCTCACTCAAGCTCCCTAGGTCATAAGTTTTTAAACTTCAAGGACTTGACCTCTCCTGTCCAGGCATGCTAATTTAATCAGTCCTCATCTGACTTTGACTCTGGGGCATGTGTTACAAACCTTTTGGTGTTCCTCTCCCTTCCTTTGTGCTATCTTGAGTCCCTGCTGTTTGTGTCTAGGAAGGCTGTGTTCTGACACATCTGACCCTGTCTGGCAACTACCTGAGTGATGAAGCTGTAAGAGATCTGAGCAGGTAACATGGGATCCAAGGCCTCTGGGACAAACACTCAACTGCCTGTTTTTAGTATCACACCACCCAAGGCAAGGGCATAGTCCAGAAAACACAGTCCAACTTATTTGCTTCCTACAGTGTCCCTCTCAGCATTCAAACATTAACAGCAAACAGGTTCTCAGACCAGGCATCTTGAATACACAAAAAGTCCTTTACCACAAACATGAAGATAAGAGTTAATCCAGTGTGGCAGTCACAGGGCCAGTCCAGCCTTGTCTGGTTTAGGATGGTTAATGATTTCATGGTTCTAGATGCCTTGGTCTTGTCACCCAAGTCTAACCTATTCCTAGCCCACACTCTCCCCTATTTTTACTTGACTATCCCAAGTTCTCTTCTTTGTTTTACCTTGCTTTTCATCCTCAGTCCAAACCCTATTTCATTCTTTAGACTCCTTAGCCCCGTTTCATTTCTTTCATCTGTTTACCTGGGGCCTAGTGCCCTTCAGTCTTGCCACTCTATTTTTGGTCCACTCTCCTGTTAGTCATTACACATTAACACCTATAAACATTTCTATTTACACAGGCCACATGACAGAATACTTTAGTTACAGCACAGAGGTTCAAGGAGACATCGAGACCAGGACTAGGGAAAGCTTTCCTCTTTATGGTCACTTGGACAGCTATATGACTCAACAGTTACTCTTAGGAGCCAGTAGCTTTTCTCTTTAACTGTGCTGTATTGGGCAGACTCCCATTCCACCTCTCTTTGAGGTCATTTAAGGGGACAAAGTGAAGCTTCCTTTATCATCTTGAATTTCAAATACATTTGGTGTGATGGGGCTTGTCTATCCATACTCTATTTCCAAGGAGTGACCTAAAACGAATTTTTTTGCCTGGGTATTATTTTAATCATTTTATCTTAAGGTCCTTGTGCCACAGTATACTTAATGTTTGTTGAATTGAATGGGAAAAGACTATCCCTAGTAGTGGGGGTGACCACGAGGGGCAAATGTTTGTTGGGTACCAGTTTCTTCCTTATCCCTTTCCTTCTGGACCTATACCCCAGTTTCCTTTTGTCTTATTCTTCTAGATGTCTTCCTATCTGTCCCTCATTAATCTCACTGGATTTGACTGCCAACCCTAACATTAGCTGTGCCAGCCTGGAAGAGATCTTGTCAACTCTTCAGGAAAGAAATTCTGGCCTTGACTTCCTTGGTCTTTCAGGTGAGAATTTTGGTCATCCTGACTTTTCACCCCTAACCTCAAGTCAATTCAGTTGAGCTATTTTATGTCTCAGTTCTCAGCTGGACAGAAACATGGATATAATGCCATTTTATGATCAAAAAAGTGAGGAAAATGCCATGTATTAAATACTTAATATGTAGAAAACCTGTTCTGAGAGCTATCGGAAGATTCAGAGGAAGGAAATATGTGGTATCTGGGTGGGTGGTGGGCCACAATCCCTATCTTTTAACTTTTGGAACTTGGCCTTCTGTTGAATCTGAAAGGTAAGACCTAGCATCCCTTCTTATGACCTTTGTGAGGAAGAAGCAGCATTTCCATTTGACTGGACCCATCTGGAATGATTCATACTCTGACTTTGATTCTGAGAGCACTGGTCTTCAAAGTTTCTAAGCTCCTTGCTTTAGCAGATTCTTCCTTATCATCTTCCTGTCCTGGGAGAAGGGATTTAGGATTGGGAACCAAACTTTGGGAAATTGCCTCCTTAGGATCATTCAGCCAGTTATTTACTGTCCAAGTAGGTCACCTGGTAACCATTCATGGCCCTCTTTTAATCAGCCACCTTCCTACTGAGTGGTTCCATTGTCCTTAGAAATTATCTTATCAACTATAGATAGCATTAAAAATCCCTGGCATTATACTCTTCTTCCTGTGAAGCCTAGTTGGGGAGGGGGATGTTCCCAGTTAGGAATCTCTGCCATTAATTCTTGAGATACCTACTAATCATTGCCTCACTAAATTTGGATTCCTTAGCCATGTGTGATACTTCTAATTGATCCATTAGCAGCTTTTGTTTTAAGAAGTATTAAAATTATATGTGAACCAAGGCAGTTAGCCCAGGATTAATTGGAGATCTGTGATCTCATCCCAGCCACAGGACCTCACTTAAGGGGGGGAAAAAAAACGAACTGGCCTCAGACACTTTACACTTACTAGCTGTGTGACCCTGGGCAAGTCACTTAACCTCGGCTAACTAAGCAAAAGCAAAACAACCCCCCCCCCCCCAAAAAAAAGAAGAGGTGACTAAGAAGGTAAGCCCCTGCCATCTGCACAGCTGTGTTCAGGATCCATTTTAGTCTTTCCTTTTCAAAACTGGGAGGAATAACTAACAGGTTGGTTGACAGAATCGGGATCCAAAAAGATAGTGACAGGCTAGAACACTGGACTGAATATAATAAGATGGAATTTAATTGGGATAAATGTAAACATACAAGTGTATCCCAAGTGGGTTAAAAAATCATCCTCACAAATAAGAGAGGAGGAAGGCATGGCTATGAAGAAGTTCTGAAATAAAAGATCTCACTGCAAATCCAGTATGAGTCAACAGTATGTTATGGCAGCTAGAAAAGGTAAGACAAGACAATCTTAACGCATTAAGAAAGGTGTCCAGGGGGCAGCCAGGTGGCTCAGTGGATAGAGCACCAGCCCTGGATTCAGGAGGACCTGGCCTCAGACACGTAACACTTACTAGCTCTGTGACCCTGGGCAAGTCACTTAACCCCATTGCCTAGCAAAAAGAAAAAAAAAAAAGAAAGGTATCCAAAACCAGACAGCAACAGTCCCACTGTACTCTGCTTTGATCAGACCATATCTGGAATATTAATGTTAAGCTCTGAATACCACATTGGAAAGTAGGAAAGCCAGGATAGTGAAGGGCCTCAAGATCATTCTTTTGAGAATCATTTGAAGTAAGCAGGAATGTTTAGCTTGGAGAGAAGAGAGTGAGGGAACAGTGTATCTGTCTTCAGGTAATAGCGGGACTTTCACATTGAAGTCAGTGAATGGTGAGTTGTGCTTGGCTCCAGACAGCTGAACTAGGTGTAATGGATTTTTTTGTAATGGATTAATTTACAATTAATTTGTAATGAATTAATTAATGGTCTTGTTTCCTGCTCTCTACCTCTTGTCCTTTGTAATAGAGAGAAAAGCTGGGCCTTGCACATAATAAGTGCTGAATAATGTTTAATTTTCCTTTGTCCTTCTGATGTGACTCTCTTTATACAATCCTTCCCATTTCTCCATTGCATCCTTTTCATCTGGTCTTTGCATATGGAACCATCTAGGCTTCCACAAAATCACTGAGGTTTTTTGTCAGAATGGACAATTGACATAGCTTCTGAGAAGATATTTGTATCGTGGTTTTGAGTTTGCCTTTTCTAGTCTACTGCTAAACTATGAATTCAAATAGAATAGGAAATTGAAGTTACCATTGAAGTAACAGAAATAACAATTGCCATGGAAAGCCAAATTAAGCAGCCTTAGTCCTTGCCACTCCACATGTTCTGTCCTAAGCAGGGCTTGCCTGCTGAGCTTCAGTTCTTGGCAAAACTGTAAAGTCATCCTAAGATTGTTTCCCTCCCTTTTTGTAGCACTGCCCCCTTGGGGTGCTCCTGTGCTCCCTTGGCTGCTCGGGCTTCTCCTTTTCTCAGTCCTTGACCCTAGCCTCCCCATTCTGGGTAATCCTCCTGGCTTGGGATTCTCCCTCTCCAACAGTTGGCTCTCAACAAGCAATCTGTATCAAAGTGGCCCTATCAAGGAGATTCATGTGTATTTGGTTTTAATGACTAAGTTTGATGGCTACTATTTACATTGTAGCCAGACACATCCAGTGCCTTAGTCTGATGTAGTGGAAAGAACACTGAAATTGAAATAAGAAAAACTAGGTTGGAATTCTGGGATCTACCACTTATTAATCATTATTAGACTAGTTAAAGCCCCTTTCCTATTCAATGTCCTCATTTGTGAAGCAGGGATGAAATCTTTGCACTACTTACCTTTCAGGAGTATTGGAAGAAGGCACTCCTTCACATTGCAATGGGGACTGGATATTGTTTTGGATAAATTTACAGACTGTGTGACCCTTGCGCAAATCACTTAACCTCTACTGACCTCAGTTTACTCATCTATAAAATGAGAGGGTTGGACTAGATATCCTCTAAAGGCCTTTCCATCTCTTATTTGATCCTCTGAACTCCATGCTCTGAAGTAGGCCAGCACTGACTTTTTGTTTATTTTTTAATTAACATTTACTAGCCTCTCTACTCTGGGCTTTTTTAGGAAACTGACTAGCAGTGGCATTCAGAAGCTGTCCTCTCCACACCAGAACTAATCAGTCCCGGTTTGAACCACTCCTAGTAACATACCTACTTTTCTTTCCAGCCATAGAGATGGTCTTCCTTTGAGCCTTCTATATGCATTCTCTTCCTCCTCCCCATGAACGAGGGCATCTTTTTGTTAGACCATTGGCAAAATTCTAGGGCCCAGGACTTGGGCCAGAAGTATTCTTGGTATTCTACTGCTCACTATAACATTTTAAAGTTAGAAAAAGTTTTCCCCACCAAAGGGCTATGAAGTAGGCAGTCCAAGTAGCAGTATCCCTGTGTTTCTGATGAGATAACAGGCTTAGGGAGGTTAAGCAGGCACATGATGCTGGAGGCTGGAACTCAAACCCAAGATTCTCCTGATTCAAGTCTGGTGCTTTTTTCACTATACTGTACTGCTTTTCCCCAAAGCTAATTGCTCTCTGGGGAAATCCTTCATTGGCCTCATTAACACTGTGCTTTAACCACCTGAGTCCATAACCAGAGCTAATAGCAGTCATTTACATTTCTATAGTGATTTATATAGCCACTTCATCCTCCCAGCCATCCTTTGGGGGACAGGGCAGATGGTGATGGTACCCTCACTTCACAGTTGAAGAAACAGGTTAAATGCCATAGGTCACAGAATGTCATAGGATTTAGAGCTAGAAGAGACCTTAGGACATCTGGACCTGTTTTCTCATCTATGAAATGAGGAGGTTAGACTAAATGGCTTCCAAATTCCCTTTCAGCTCTCCAGCTGTGCTGTTATTTTATAGCTACAAGGAACACTGAGGCCATGGGAAAAAATATTATGAACTTGTATTTTTATTTAATCATGTGGTACCTGGGCTTCCTATTCTATAGACTCATAATTGTTAGTGTCTTGGATATATTCTACACAAAGCTTTTCCTGTATCTTTCCCTCTTTATAGGATGCTCCATCGAAGGACCCTTGGGCAGGTGCACATGGGAGAAAATCACCTCACAGCTTCGAGAATTACAGCTGTGCTGCAGCAAACTGAGACCTACTGACCATCAAGCCTTAGGCCAGCAGTTGGCCTGCAAGAAGGGTCCTGCCTCCTTCATACTGAGCCACCACCACAAACTTTTCTTTGGATGCCACTGAGCAGCAGCAACCCTTCATTTCTCCTTCCTCTACTTCCATTTATGGACCTTACAAACTCCAATAAGCTTACCCATGGATTGAGACTTTTAAAATCCTCAATAAATCACTGCTACTTGTTTTATTTATACATCGCTGTTCTCTGTCTCAGCTGTTCATTGCCTTTCCTCATCTCACTGCCCTATTTGAAGCAATCACAGTGAAGGCCTTTTGGGGAACTGGTGTATTTCTAGGACCCAAATCTCTCTGGTCACTTAGGAGAGGGACAGAAAAGCTTCAGTTGCCCAAGTAGTTTATAGGATTGTAATAGGATTAGGGAAATGACCCTTCAGCCTGCTACTTGACTTCTTCCCATATTTAATCTCATCCTGGGCTTCTAGGGTAATTCTAAGTTTGTTTATATATTTCCTCATTAATAAAATTTCAACATCTCTAAATCCATTTAAGCTCAGTTCCCCATCCCAGTTCACCAAATATTTAATACAACTGAGAAACCTTTCCCACTAGTAGGTACTCATTTCTTTATATATCAAATCCCTTGATCTCCTAGGTTTTAGTAAATATTAAAGTTAACAATATATAATTTGCTAACAATGAAATCAATAATAGGTGTAATTATTTACATATTCCCTCAGTCCTCACCGTAACTGTGCATGACAACTGAGAACATGGTTGCCGGCTTTAGTTTGTTCAAGATGTCAGGCTTCAGGCAAGAATCCTCTTTGGGCAAGAAAGATTATAATAGTTGAATAAATAAGTATTCTCTTCTTTTTCTCACTGTATTTCCCTGCCTTCAGGAAAAACAAGCTCTTCACAGGCGACTCCATGTTTCATCACAAAATAACCATTAAGACAGCTATAACAACAAAACTATCTTCCCCTTTATCTTGGCTTCTCCATCATTTAACTCCTAGACTAGACCAAAGTAAAATTCACACTCCCCAACACAGACAGTTGTTACTCGCCTCCTGTTCTTGGGTTGCTAGAGACCCTCTAAAGCTTTCGAAATGGTTTTGAGGAGTCTAGATGTAGTGTTAGAAGGAATTTGCCCATAGTCCCGTTTTACACTGAATCAATCAAAAGGCCCGATTTCCTTTTTCATTTGCTGTGGGCATGGCGGTCGAGGCCAGGGATGGAGTTTTTTGTTTTTTGTTTTTTTTTTTTTGGAGGAAACTAAAGCCCTCTCCCGTAGAATTAGCCCAGAGTTAAATACGGGAGACAAAAGTCAGTTACAGGACCGGGGCTGACTCAGATCTGTGCTTGGAAGCAAAAATGATGGACCCCAGAGAGCCGTCAATGCAACTGGTCGCCACCCTTGGCCCCTTTCAGCTTCGCCCCGGATCTAGGAGCTCTACTCAGGTGAGCCTAGGATACCTTAGACCTGTCTGAGGGGCGGGGCTTGGGAGGCTCGTCTTTTCCCGAGCACCTCGAGGATCTGCGCAAGCGCAGGATGCCCGGCGTACGCGGACGAGCGCCGAAACATCGATCGTCCGAGAGACCCTTGGCTGGCGCCATCTTGGATCGAGCAGCCCTGAGAAGAACGATCCCTAGGTGCCGAGAGTAGATCCCAGCGGGAGACCGACAACCCCACCCCCACCCCCAAGGCGAGCCCCAGGATCTAGGGTCTCGGCCGCCCCTGAGCCCACTCCCAAGAGAAGGCCTGGCGGCAGCCGCGGCTCTCCCCCTCTCCTCTGCCCCGCCCTGTTTCAGCTTCGCGACCACAGACGAGGACCCGGGCGCCACCGTCGAGCATGTTTCACGGGATCCCAGCCACCCCTGGGATGGGAGGTGAGTGTCCCCGCCCCGCCTTGCCGTTCTAACGCGGGGGGCAGGCCGGGGAGCCCTCGGAGAGAGGCCGAGGGAGTTGGGAGGAAACACGGCCACCGCCGGCAGGGGGCGCCGGGAGCCCAGGCCGAAGGAGGGGGCGGGCCGGGGGTGAGGGAGGGTCTGTCCACACTTGCATTAGGACTGGGCTGTCCCCGACCCTCTTCTGCTGTTCAGGGGTCCCAGGAGAGCCAGTAGATCGAGGGAACTGGTGTGAAAGGTGACCAGCCAGAGGCTCGTATTGATTTATCTAAGGGACACCTACTTAAAGAGCACGGGCAGCGGGCGGGCAGAGACTGTAAGTTTAGGGAGGACCAGGTACCTGCCCCCCCCCCCCCCCCCCGCTAATGTCTTCATCCAGAATCTTCTTCTCTGTTTTCAGCCCCTGGGAATAAACCAGAGCTATATGAGGTGAGCTCTACCTCCGTGTTGGTGGGATTCTTTCTGGGCTACCTTCTCCCCAGTTCCATCATTTCCATTTTTTGGGAGGAAGACACGAACAGGCCTAGCAGTGATTCTTTTTACCTGCAGTTTACATGTTTCCCAGAAGGCCGAGATGATATGGGGCCCAGGGCTTGCCTCTTTGCACGTACCTGACCTTAAGAAGGCTCTCTTTTCTCTCTTGCAGGAAGTAAAGCTGTACAAGAATGCCCGGGAAAGAGAGAAGTGAGTCCCAAAGAGGACCAGCCTTTTTCCCTCTGTGAATGTGGGTGGGGATGGGGAGGGTCCCAGGCCATCTGGTAGACCTCTGCACTACAGCCTTCCCTTCTATTGGTCACCTCCAGCTTAATTGCTGGGGGTCTTGGCATGCATGGTTTCAGCCTTGAGGCCATTGTAGCCTAGGGCTATCTAGGCACTAGGTGGATCTGACTGTAACTGGCTGAGCTCTATTCCTTGAGTTGGGTGGTATCGAAATGTCAAGAAAATCACCCATCCCCTGACCCTTGTTCACTTGATTCTGTGTGCTTGCCATTACTCCCAGATCTATGAGCATTTCTGACACATTCAGCATTGCTGGCAAGGGTAGCTCATAGAGGACAGTGAGTGGAGGGTGGCTGGAGCCAGAGCCATGGCCGTGCCCAGGGGAAGGGTGGGGTACATTCTCTGTGCTATACCTGGGAACTTACAGCTTGACTAACCAGGCCCATGCCCTCAGATATGACAACATGGCAGAATTGTTTGCTGTGGTGAAGACGATGCAAGCCCTGGAGAAAGCATACATCAAGGACTGTGTCACCCCTAATGAGTGAGTGTCCTTAAGGAAGGGATACTGTTGAGGGGAGGAAAGGAAGGGAAGGAAGAAAGGCCCTTTGACATCTCAATTGGTTTCTAGATATTCTTTATGGTTTTTTGGATATTCAGAAGTTCTGTGATAGAACATCTGCTGTGGAAACGTTGCTAACTGTAAACTATCCCAGGGTTACAGTCTGATTTTCCAACTAAATTCCAAAACTTGTCCACTTTTTATTTTTATTAATTTGTTTCCATTATTTTCATATAATTCTAAAACATTTAGGAACAGAAGGGACCTTAATGGTCACTTCCTCACTGTCATAGGTGGGGGAAACTAAGACCCCGAGAGGGCCTCGCCAAAGTCAGACACCAAGTCAGTGACAAAATAGGGAGTAGAACTCAGAGCTCCTAACTCCTGGTTCAGTGTTCTTTTAGTTGCATTCTAATTTTATAAGTAGCTGTTAAGATTCTGCTATGTGCAAGATAATGCGCTAGGTATATGCTTTCATCCATTTAAGTCAACAAACATTGATGTTTGCTGCACATGCTGAAAGGCTGGACCTTTAAGTTTCTTCCCAACTCTTTAAGTTTCCAGGGTATATGATTTTTGAGCTTCTGTTATGAGGCTAACCTATGTTGAAGAGAATACAAAGAAGAAAAGTGTATCAGGCAGTGTGCTACAGTGGAGACATTATTGGAGGTGCTAGGTTCAAATTCCAGCTTTGTCACTTAATATCTATATAACCATAGTTAAGACATGTAAGTCCTTTGAGCCTTAGTTTTCTCTAAAAAATTTGAGGGTTAGGGGCAGCTAGGTGGCCCAGTGAATGGAGCACCAGCCCTGGACTCAGGAGGACTTGAGTTCAAATCCGGCCTCAGACACAAAACACTCACTAGCTGTGTGACCCTGGGCAAGTCACTTAACCCCATGGCCTAGCCAAATAAATAAATAAATAAAGTTTGAGGGTTAGACTAGATGGCTTGTAAAGTGCTTTTCAGTTCTAAATTTATGAGCCTGTGAATACTGATTCTTTAAAGCGCAATTCAAGTACCACCTCTTTCTTGACATCATCTTTGATATTCCTGGTCAGATCTCATACAACACTTGTTTTTGTAGCATGTAGGTTTGTCTGTTACGGTTAGCACTGTTAGACCAGAAGCTTCATAAGGGCAGGGATCGTGTCTTATTTCTTTGCATCATCTGTACTTATTGTTGATTGAATGGGTGAATGACTTGATCCCTTTCTTCAGTGGAGAATAGTCTAGTAGGGGATAAAAATAATGATGACTGGTATCTATATAGTGCTTTACATGTTTTATTTCATTTGATCTTCACAACAATTCTATGAAATAGATAGTCTGTGAAATAGTTCTTTTGATTCCCAAGTTATAGACGAGGAGACCGAGGCCCAGAGTTAAACATCTTGTTCAGGATCATAAAGTTAAGTAGCAAAGTCAGAATTTGAACACATATTATGACTCCAAATCTGATGTTCTTCCTGCCATATAAATAATGACATTACAAAACAGTATGTGATAACATGAATATGAAATATGTAAGCTTGTAGGTTTAATAAGGGAGTATAGGCATTGGAGTCTTAAAGATGTGAAATCTGGGTTTAAATCCTGGCTCTGCTACCTACTAGGTGGTGCTGGTTGTATAACCTCAGGCAAATCACTTATCTGAAGTTTAGCTTTTTCTTTTGTTATATGAGGGAGTTAGACTGGATGGATGCTAAGATTCATTTCATCTGTGAACCAGGCATTTCTCTTACCTGGCACAGATCTTCCCTTGGCATAAGTTCTTTTTCCCTTAGTCTCCTTGAGTTCCAAGTTCCTACTTGACCTTTAAGACCCAAGCCCCTCCCTACCCTGGGTTGGACTCTGATCCCAGAGAGCCTGACATATGTCTTTGTCTTAGTTGAAGGTTGAGGTCATGGCCCATGCTGAGGCTTACTTCTCCACAGGTACACAGCAGCCTGTTCCCGACTTCTGGTCCAGTACAAAGCTGCCTTCAAGCAGGTGCAAGGCTCAGAAATCAGTTCCATTGATGAGTTCTGCCGAAAGTTCCGTGTGAGTCAGCCAACCTGATGAGAGTACCCAGGGTGCTTTGACCCTTGCTCCTACTCTGATCTTTCTTTCCAAGTGGATGGACTTTCCCCCCTGGGTATTAGGGCTATCTTCAGATATGTTATGTAACCTCTACTCTCCTTACTCCCCTGGCAGCTTGATTGCCCACTAGCAATGGAGAGAATCAAGGAGGACCGACCAATCACCATCAAGGACGACAAGGGCAACCTCAACCGATGTATTGCTGACATTGTCTCGGTAAGTCCTACCCCCTCAGAAAGGTCATTCTGGTTTTAGCTCCTCAGTCCTATTTGTGTCCTAACATCAAAGTGAAGCAAGAAGAATTGTACTTTAGGACTGGTGGGAGAAACATTAGCAAGACCAACAGAAGATTGATGTTCTAACTTTTAGTTACTATAGAGAGCAGGAAGAATTTTTCAGTGCCCCACATAGCATATGTAGTACCTATATTTCTACCATGGCCAAGTGACTTCTATTCAAAGTGCAGGTTGATCTTTCTTCTAAAAGGGAAAATGAAGAAACTGGAAGAGCTTTTCTCCATTCTTCAGGCTATCATGGAGAAGGAAGTGTTCTTAAAAAATAGAAGGATTTCAATATGAAAACTAAAGGGGATCTGAAGAGGGAGGGTAGAAGACTATGACACAGAAGAAAAAGGGAAGAAGAATCATTTGAATCTAAGTAATAGATATAAAACTTTTCTGAAAGAGGAGAACACTGGTTCCTCAAAGGAGGAAGCAGCTGTTTCTCCTTTTAAGGAATGATGATTGGATCCAAGCATGCTGCTGCCAGGTAAGAGATATTCCAGTAAGGATCCAGGAAAGAAAAGATAAATAGTGACCTTTGCTGATTTCCTAATGAGAGGTATTGAAACAACTGTTTGTTGACCTGATAACAAGACTCAAAAGGTCTGCTATGTCCAAGACATGACAAAAGAACCTTTTAAGACATGTCAAGATGTAACTGAAGTCATGTGCAAGAAACTGAAGACATTTTATTTTCCATCGCAATCACCAATAAATGGAAAGGAGAAAAGGCAGATTTAGGACGTAAACATTTGTTTAAGCTGATGGTGTCTGAAAGAGGGATTTAGATTTCTGGACAAATTTAGGAATAACAGGCTCCTGCCCAGGAATGGAGTGGACCTTACTAGGGCTGATAATAATATATTTGCTTGGTGTCTTATAGAAGAAAGGGGGAGGTAGAAAACTTGCTACATGCAGCCACCAACTAGAGCCCAGAGGGAAGGACTACGATGTAGAAAGAAGAATAACAAATAGAAGTACCTCCTTCAGATACAAGGGAGACATTCTAGGAAAGGAGCCAGTAGTAAGACCTGTGGCCTCATATCTGTTTACAGAGGCACAAAGTGTGGATTCACAAAAGAAGGAGGCCTAGAGATAGGGATGGAAGGAAATAAATTTGACCACACAGGGCTCACTGAGACATGATCGAGTGAGACTCAAGACTAAAATAATGTTCTGGAAGAGTATACTTTATTCAGTAGAAATTAAGGTATAGGTAAAAGAGGGCAGAGTCCCTCTCCTGCTCTGCTCAGGTCAGAAGGCATCTTCAGCGCTTTGTTCAGTGCTAGATGCCACGTTTTAGAAGGGGTGTTGATCGGCGATTCTTCCAAAGGAGGTCCTCCAGAATAAGGAGGGGCCTTGATTTTCATGTTCTACAAAGATCGATTGAAAGACCTGGGAATGTTTGACCTGTGGGGAAGAAGACTTAGTAAGGGCACGGTAGCTGTCTTCGAACTATTGAAGGAAGCAGAATTAGGCTTGTCCTGCTTGGTTTCAGAAAGCTAAGCTGTGAACAGCATATAAAAGTAACAGAGTTGAAGTTAGGCCGGATGTAAGAAAAAATAACAATTCGAGCTATTTGAAATTAGATGGGCTGCTTCAGAAGGTAATGAATTCTCCCTCACTCAAGAATTGTAAAGTCATGAATGGCCTTTTTTCACAAATGATATAGGAAGGATTTTTGTTCAGGTGTGTGCTGGACTGGATGGTCTCTGAGGTACCTTCCCATTCAGTAATTCTGTAAGCTCGATGGTGCTCACGCTCCTAAACCCAGGTGAGGAAAACTGCTAGGTCACTAAATAGTGAAGCACCTTTGGGGTGAGGTGTGGTCGTGTCTGGCAGTGGCAAGAGGACAGCGTCCAGAATCTGAGGATTGGGTTCAAATTCCAACGCTGGCGAGTTATCTTGGGCAGGTTATTGATCTCACCAGGTGTCAATTTCATCATCTACAAAAGGGGATTGAGCTAGATGACCAAGAGAAGGTGAAAAATTGAGAGTTAGAACTGTACTTTGTAGACAGTCAGAAGGCCCTGGAGATTTTTGATCAAAAGACTGACTTGACCAGATCTCTTCATGTAGACGATGAGCCTAGCAGCATATGAAAGACAGTTTGAAGCAGGGATTATAGAGACAGAAAGACCTGTCAGGGCAGTGATGGTGTACATACCGTGAAGGGGACACATAAGCAATGTTGTGAGAGTAGAATGGGGAATTGGAAGTGGGGACAAGGTGCACGTGCTGCAGGACATATTAGGAAGAAGCCCAATCTGAGCAGGTCCTGAAATCCAGCCCAGCTGGGTGGCACATGAAGAAGCATGACCTGGCACGTGCTAGATGGGTTGGGATGAGGTGAGTTTTCAGGCCATTAGTCACCATTCAGATTAGCTCACTCCCGGGGCAGAGGCCTAAAGCTAAGTGTATAAACTTGAGGAGCAGCTTCCCTTTGTGTATAATCAGACTTTTGTAGGGCAGCTAGGTGGCACAGTGGATAGAGTTCGGGGCCTAGAGTCAGGAAGATTCATCTTTCTGAGTTCAAATCTGGCCTCAGACATTTACTATGTGGGTGACACCTGGGCAAGTCACTTAGCCCTGCCTGCCGCAGTTTCCTCATCTGTAAAATGAGCTGAAGAAGGAAATGGCAAACCACTCTAGTATCTTTGCCTGGAAAACCCTAAATGGGGTCACGAAGGGTCAGGCACAACTGAAAAGGAAAAAGAAAGACATCGCAACTACTGGAAATCCAGCCACAATGTAGTCCATGACATTATTTCTATAGGAGAACATTGTTTAGTTTCCAAATAGCTAATTTGGAAATGAAGTGAACCTAATGTATTTTGGGGACACCCAATATTTATAAGGTGATGGTCTCAACCATTGGTTACAAAGCAAGAAAAGGGACCCAGGAATCACTGGAGAACTCCCAGTCAACAGCTGAATGTGTAGGTATGACCAGATGGCTCTACAGAAAACTGAGCATCGATAGGGATGTGGAAATAAAACAAAATTTCTTTGCCTTGTGAAAACCATTGAGCAGAAAAGTTGTAGATGTGGGAAGCTTGGTATGTCCCTGCCGGCAAGAAATAGCAGTAAATTGAAAGTCAGGAGACTTTCAATTCCAATCTTTGTTTTGCCACGTAACTCCCTGTATTAGAGACTTGTTCAAGTCATTCTAGCATTTTCGGGCCACAGTTTCCCACTGTATAAAATAAGAAAGGTTGAACTAGATCATCTCTAAGGTTTCTTCCAAGTTCAAAGTCTTACCGTCCTTCTACTTCACAAGACCTAGTATCAGAGGTGGACAGTGCCCTGAGAAGGGCACTGGGGACCAGCGTGAGAAGGTGCTCCAGAAGGACAGACTAAAAAGACAAGGGCTCTGATCTGGGAAGACAAAGGGGATCAAATCAAGCTCTGCTTATGAAAGGTGTGCAGAGGCACCATGTTAAATGCATAACAAGGGGGCATCCCTTGAAACTTGAAAGAAACAAGTTTAGATGCCAGCAAAAAGAAATATTGGCTGAAAATGTAAACAAGTTGGGGAAAAAGTAAGTTAACAGATGGTAAAGTCAAAACGTACTTTTGAAGGAAGCAAGATGTTTGGGGCATCATCTTGCCCCTTTGTTTTTAATATTAGGGAGAGGACAACTCTGCCCTCCCTCAAATACCCTGAAGTTTCTGTCAAGAGTTAGGGCTAGAAGGCCTGTGCCTGAAGTTTGTGTTCTCTCCCCAGCTCTTTATCACTGTGATGGATAAACTCCGACTGGAAATTCGTGCCATGGATGAGGTGAGGTGTCTGTAGGGGGACATTCAGAGTGAATGTGATAGAAGGGAATGCTCTTATTTAGGGAGTGCCTGGCTCTGTAGGGCACTCTGTCTTCTGCAAGACAGACTGTGAGCTGAGTGCTGTACATGTTAGAAAAAGCTTCAGTGGTTGGGTGGGAATGGGAAGGAAGGAAGGGTAATCCTCCCTGAATCTGAAATATGAACTTCAGATCCAGCCTGATCTTCGAGAATTAATGGAGACCATGAACCGCATGAGCCACTTACCTCCTGACTTTGAGGGTCGACAGAAAGTCAGCCAGTGGTGAGTGTCCCCTGGGAGATGGCCTGGAAGTGGTGGGTCATTGGGAAAGGGGACTGAACTCTCTGTGGGAGAGTCATCTGAGAATCTCCAAGTGGCAGCATCCTGAAGAACAGAAAAACTGGACAGCTTTTAACACCTCTGTAGTGTTAAGAGCTTCAGAGGGGGAAAGTCTAGTTTCTGAGCTCTTGTGGGAATAGCTCCTCCCAGTGACCTTTCTCTCTTCCCACAGGCTCCAGACCTTGAGTGGTATGTCAGCTGCAGATGAGCTGGATGATTCTCAGGTCCGACAGATGCTGTTTGATCTGGAGTCTGCCTACAATGCCTTCAACCGCTTTCTGCACGCCTAAACCCAGGGCTCTTGGTCCATCCCACTCTGCTGTAGATTGAGACCCAGGGCTGGGACCATGGTTTACGGGGCTAGGATCCCTGAATTGTGGGGTAGCACCCTAGAATAAACTGCTCATTTCCCCCCTTTCTTCCAGCTTGGTGGGGTAGGGATTGGGAGGGGACCTGTCTCAGGGTTACATGAGAATGCTTTTCCTTCACCACTTCCTTGAGAAATAATTGTAAGTGGTGGCCTAGGGTTCATTCACACCAGAGCATTCTGCTTGGGCTGGCCCCAGCCCTTATAACCCAGGGTGCATTAACACAATCACTCCAGCTCACAGATGGTGTCTGAGCCAAGTTATTAGGGGCTCTTGGGTTCCTTGGACAGTGCTTTCTCTTCCTCTTTTCTTCTTTCCAAGTCCACATAACCCACATCTAATCTCTCTTCCTTGGAAGAGGGGGGGCGGGAAATGTGTGTGGGGCTAAGTAAGTAGTATCCTATCTTGTCCCACTGGTCTCCCAGAATAAAGACTCTACCCTCTATCTGGAGTCAAGATGACCTGAGTTCAAATCCAGCCTCAGACACTAGTGCATGATCCCTGAATAAGTCGCTTAACCTCTCAGTCTCAATTTCCTCAGCTGTAAAATGGGGATAATAGCATCCACCTCACAGGGTTCTTATAAAGATCAACTGAGATGATAATTGTAAAGAGCTTAGCACAATACTTGGCGTATAGTAAGCACCATGTAAATACTTATTCCCCTCCCCTTTAAATCTCCTAATTCCACACACTGGAATGAAGTGCTAGAATTTAATTCATACCCATTAGACTTCTTGAGACTTAAAATTCTCTACCCTTTTTTCTATACTGACAGGGAAGGTTCTGCTGAACCAAGTCAACCCCACTTCCCTAAAGCAGTTACAAAGTCAGATACTTGTCTTTTTGTCATGATCCTCTTGGACTCAGCACAGTCTGGAGCCTAGAGGGAGTCCACTTGGTACTCCAAGGCTGCCCCTGCCCCCTAGCCTCCATAAAAGCAGAGTCTAGGCATCAATATTAGCTGATGTGAATTGAGAGTCTCCATCACTGTACCCAGTCTGATAACCTCCGAGATCTTCCACTCCAAGGGAAATCTGGCTCTTGGGTGATTCCCATTCAACCTAAGTTTCTGCTATCTGCCTGTGATTCTGACCTCTGTCAGTACGTAGGGCGATGCATAGTCCTCCCTTTGTGAGCAGAAGAGGCTCTATCTAGAAGCTCTGACCCTTGTTCTCCTTGGGCAGTTGGCCTTGATCCTAAGCTGCTATGTATCCCAACCCCCAGAGAGGGAGACGGGATCATTCTTGGTGCAGGTGTTTGCTCTAGCAGAGAGGGTAGATTGGTTAGACCACTTTAGTGGGGAGTTCTGCATTGGATGGATGATCAGACGGGGTGACCCCTCTGAGATCTCTTTCTAGCTCTGATTTGTGAATGTTAGACTCTGGCCTGCAGTGTTTGTATTCTTGAATTTGAAGTGAACATGGGCCCCTTCACACAAGAAACCTTGAGCTGGTTAGGGTAGAGATCACCAGGTTATTAACATTAGAAGGACCAGGTACATAATTGACAAAATTTGTTATTGCAATTTTATTTTGAAATAAAAATGTTTATTCTATCTTCTTCTGCCTTATGGATTAAAAAAAAAATGGACTGTGTCAATTGATGCAGCTTAGTTTTTTGAGGTATTCTTAAATTCTGGTCCTTCTAGTCCTAAGTAGGGGGTGAAAAAACTAAGGGCAGACCTAAATGAGACTAATTTTTTGAATGTTAAACATTTTCAGAGTGGCCAATCCCAGCCCCATTATGGGCAAATTCTCCACGTGGGCAGGATGAGGGACTAGATTTGTCTGCAAAAGTTTATTGACCTTTCTCTGACCTCCATATCACTGTTTATCTCTTGTTCACCACACTGCCATCAACATAGAATTCAGAAAATCCTTCCAATCTGTCTTTAGCCCTCTTTCCTTTTCTCCTTGCATTCTTCCTCTTCTTACAGATCTCTCAGGGGTCAACAAGCATTTATTCCCTCCAGCCTAGGTACTAAGAGGAACCAAAAGTAGAAAGATAAATACATGGGTCTATTCTTCAAGGAGCTTTTGGTCACATTTTTTAAAATTTATTATTTTCTGATGAGCATTCTCTCCCACTCACTCCTCGATTGAGATAGCAAGCCAAACAAAACCTGTTACAAACATACATGGTCAAGCAAATTAAATACCCCCCGTGGCCATTTAAAAAAAAAAGTCTCACTCTCTACTCTTGAGTTTATCACCTCTCTCTCAGGAGGTTGATAACTTGTCTCATCTTGTGTTCTTTGTAGTTGTGGCTGGTCATTATGCTTATCAGAGTTCCAAAGTCTTTGAAAATGGACTTTATGATATTGTTGTTACATAAATTGTTCTCCTGATTCTGCTCACTTGCCTCTGTTTCAGGTCACACAAGTCTTTCCAAATTTCTCTGAAGTCATCCCCTGCATCATATTTTTATAGCACAATACTGTTACATTATATTTCCTATACTATAACTTGTTTAGCCATTCCCCAGTTGCACATCCTCTCGATTTCCAATTCTTTGCCATCAAAAAAGAGCTGCTATAGTTATTTTTGTATATATGGGTCTTTTTCCTCTTTCTTTGATCTCTCTGGGGAGTAGACATAGGTATAGCTGGGTCAAAGTGTATGCACAATTGAATCACTTTTGGGGCATAATTCCAAATTACTTTTTGGAATGGCTGGACCACCAACAGTGCATTGATGTACTTGTTTTCCCAAAGCCCTTTCAGCATTTGTCATTTTCCATTTTTGTCAGCTTTACAGCTTAAGTGGTTTAAATGTGCATTTCTTTAATAGTAAACTACAGTATATTTTAATATGGTTATTGATAGCTTGGGTTTGAAAATTCATGGCATAGTCCTATCATTTGAGTACTTACCAACTGAGGAGTGGCTTTTATTCTTATAAATTTGAATCAGTTTTCTATAGAAATAGATCCTTGCCAGCTGTGTAATGATTTAGGAAACCACAAATTAATATTATTATCTATGTTGTATTTTTATTTTGTATTTTGTTAAACATTTCCCAATTCTATTTTAATCTGGTTCAGGCTACAAAGGGCAATTTTGAGGGTGCAGGAGTTTGACACCTTTGCCCTATATATTATCTCAGCCAGGTGGTACAGTGTATAGAGTGCTGGGGCTAGAGTCAGGAGCTTGGTTTGGATTGAGTTCAAATCCAGCCCTCTCACTAGCTATGTGATCCTGGACAAGTCATTTGACCTCTGTGAGCCTCAGTTCCCTCATCTGTAAAATGAGGATAATAATAGCACCTACCTCCCAGGGTTGTCATGAAGATCAAAAGAGATAATATCTGTAAAGTGCTTTGCTAACCTTAAAGCACTATATAAATGCTAGCTATCATCATCATCATCATCATCATTAAATGAGACCTTTATCAAAGAAACTTGCTGCAAGGATTTTTTCCCCCATTTACCTGCCATTCTGATTTTAGCAAAAATTTTGTGCAAAAGTTTCATAATCTTATGTAATTAAAATTGTCCATTTTACCTTCTGTGACCCTTTCTGTTGTTTGGTCGTGAATCTCCCCTTATCCATAGATCTGACAGGTAGCTGCTGCTTTGCTCCTCTAATTTGTTGATAATGCCAGGCTTCCTGTCTAATATTCCAATTTGGATGGTTTTGGTATTGAATGTGAGCTCTTGGTTTATACCTAGTTTCTGCCATACCGCTTTCTTTTTTCCCAACAGTTTTTGACGAAGCAAGTTCTCACTGTATTAGTGAGGATCTTTGGATTTGTCACACACCGGGTTACTGTACTCATTTGCCTCTTATGTGTTGTGTGCCTAATACTTTCTACTATTCAGCCTCTCCATTTCTTAGCCAGCACCCAATTATTTGAGTGATTACTGCTTTGTAATGTAATTTAAGGCCTGGCTAGGCCTCTTTCCTTCCCCCTTTTTTTCATTAATTCACTTGACATTCTTGATCTTTTCTTCTTCAAGATGAATGTTGTTATTATTTTTTCTAGCTCTGTAAAGTAATCCTTTGGTAGTTTTCTCCTCTCTCTGGAGGTGGATAGCTTTTTTCATCATCTCATTCCGTTTATAAAAACTTTTAACTCTTGCCTCATCTCTTCCAAGAATTCTAGTTATCTGTGTTTTTCTTGGGGGCCTTGCTTCTTGATATTTCAGAGACATTCTCTTTTTCTGCCTTTGTGTCACAAAGCAGCCCTGCCAACATAATAGCCCGTTATGGTGGGGTTCCTTTTTTGTTGGCCCATTTTTCTAGACTCCTTCCTGACTTTGGACTTGAGGTTAGGTCTGGGCTCTACAGCATTAATGGAGGAAGGGTCTGGCAGGACCTGTTGCTGCTTTCATGGAGTGTTGGTGCATTCCAGGATCTCAGGAACAGGCTGAGGATCTGCAAGCTTTCAGTGTTCTCAGAGTGGTCAGAATGTAGCTGGAATGCTTCTCGATGTGCTCTTGGCCAGACTGAATTTCTAATGTCCACAGACCTCTCTACCTCCCTGTGTTGACTTGGACTGGAAAAATGACTCATTGTGAATTTTTTTTTCCTTGGCTTTCCCAATTAAGCTTCAGTCTGATGCATTTCTCAGATCTTGGTGGAGTTGTTTTGGGAGTCGCTGAGCTATATTTCTTCCTGCTCCTCCGTCACCTTGTCTGTTCTCTAGTGTCATTCATTTAACACTATTTAAATGCTTCCCGTGCACTCAGGAGAAGTGCCACCTTCAGGAAGCCTCCCATATTTGTTAATGCTCTCTCCCTCATGTGTTTATGTATCTGTACATTTATATGTCCCCTGGAAGACTGTAAGCTCTTTGAGGGCAGAAACTGTTTTGCTTTGGAGTTTTTACATATTTGAGGCACTTAGTAAATGATTGTTTAGTTATGTGTCCTGGGCACTTTGCAAGGAAAGATTAAAACATCAAGTAAGATACAGTTCCTGACTTTAAGAAGTTTGAGCCTTCAATAAACATTTATTAAATGACAACTGACCGGAGCACTGTTGGTGCTGGAAAAGGCACAAAATTAAATCAGAATGACTCCTGAACTCCAGGGATTTCAGTGTCTT